TTGCTGAAAAGCATGAGAGCAGCCAAGAGCCTCACCAAACACGTCTTATTCTCCGCCGGCCAGAAAAAGCAAAAAAAGTAACGCCCAATTTTCATCCCTAGAGTTCTCTTACACACACAAGAAACCTTTCTCCAATCTCCAGAAGGCCAAATCGAATCTCTCCAGAAACCCCCAAAAATATGAGAGCCCATGAGCTTTTGATGAATATCCCCGTCTTGTCAATGTTGCATCCTCCCAATTCAGATAAGCCATGAGAGGTCTGGGTGTCATATTGAGCGGTCACGTCGAAAGTGCGAAACGATGTGCCAACCGCATGCGAGAAGAGGAAAAAAGAAAAGAAAGAAAGAAGAAAAACTGCATCCGATGCTGTCATGTCCCAGTGTTGGCCCCTATGCAATGCGTGCGCAGCCAAACATCTCCTGTATAATCTTGTCGAACCGTTTCGTGGGTAGCAGAAACGCTCGAGTGGAGGTCCGCAAGGCTAAGGTGGCCCATACTACACTCAAAGGCCATCGTTCGTAAGGGAAGAAACTCAAGTCTTCCCCAAATCGTTGCGCGTCTCATGATCAGCTTCGTGACTGGCGTATCGTCCAAGAGAATTATGCCGATGTTGTTGTCGTGAGTCCGGTCCAATCATGATGCCAGGGGTCACTAGTTGACCCTGGCGAACGAGCGTCGAGAATGGAAAAAAAAGGGTCGAAAGTAAGAACTCGCGGTGAAAAAACAAAAGAAACTGAAAGCAAGGAAAGCGTTCGTCTATGTCGATGTTGGCATCGAATCAAGTACAAGCCCTATTGAAGGCTCCGCCCGGTCTGGTGACGGCTGCCGAGAAGCAGAATGCGATTCTTGTGTCTGCGCTGCAAATGCCGAAGGGTGGGCACTGATGCGCTGCCCGAATCCATAGTGTACACACAAAGCAGGCCTTGCAACCGGATGCAAGGACCGCCGTGCTCGACGGATGAAGAGGTTTGGTGGATTGCGGTGTTGTATGTTGGTTGGAGGATGATTTGTGGTGTTTGCACAGACAGGGAAAAGGAAAAAGATCGTCAAGTCGTTGCTGCGTAGCCGCCGTGCTGTGTCGAAAGAAAACCGTTACGCGGAAAGCATCATGCCGCCATTATGTTCGTTGCCGAATGCCAGGGCCACATTTTCATACCATTGGAACTGAATCTCAACGGGCTGAAATGGTCGACAACGCGTCGAATACAATTACAGCCACTGAGACTCGCCCGCAGCGGCGTCAGCGGGGGCGCCACCGTTGGTGCGCTGCTGGCCATTGAAGCCAAACTGCTGGACGCGCTGGTTCTGGGGAGCGGGGGGCGGAACAGTGACGTTGTTGGTCGTGGGATAGTTGGCCTGGTTGCCACGAGGAGCCATGCCACCGCCGTTGAGACCACCGTTCAGACCGTTGCCAAAGGCACCACCAGGGGCGATGATGGAGGTGTTGTTAGACATGGCGCGGTTGTGACCGGTACGCAGGGGAATCTGGCCCTGAGTGGGGTCCGCAGGAGTAACCTGACCGCTCGAGGTAGCACTGCCGCGACCCTCAAAGGCCTGAATCTTGGCCTGAATGCGACGACCATAGGGAGTGGACCGAATGGAAGGTAAGATAGGGCGGATGGCGTCCACCAAGCGGTACTTGCTGGCAGGAGGAGCGTACTCGAGGGCGGTCTGGATGACGTAGTTGGCATACGAGTCGCGGAGGAGTCTCTCGATCTCGCCGGGGTTTAGTAGCTCATCGACAATCATCTCGCGGGAAGGCTCCTGGGAGCAACGAAGGCACTTCTCGATGACGTTGGAGCTGAACTTGTGACGGGAGAGCTGGCCGATGCGGTTCTGGAACATACGCACAATCGGCTCAGTGAAGGAGGGCTCGTTCAGGTCAATGATGTACTGGACAACGTAATTGCCGAAGGGATCCTGCACAAGGATCGGAGCGTGCTCGGTGATCTTGGCAATCAGCCAGACCTTCTGCTCTCCGGAGGCGTGGTCAATACAGCGCTGGAGAACGCAGCAACCGTGACGGTGAGTGCCAACATCAACACAGTTGGTGCCAACAGCGTCGAAGATGAACTGCGCATCCTGAGCGCTGAGCTTGTTCAGACACTTCTGGATGACATGGTTGCCGTTGAGGTCCTGGATGAGCTCAACGACCTGGAAGCGAAGAGCGTTGATGATCATCTCAATCTGAGTGGGAGTAGTAACAAACTCAATCATCTTCTGAAGAGCACGGGTGCCGTGTTGGTTGAGGGCGATGCGCACCATGTCGACGGCGGCATTCTGAATGAGCACAGTACGCTCATCATCGTTGCAGTACTCCAGCAGCTTCTGGCAAAGATAGTTGCCAAAAGGATCAGTCATGAGTTCAATGACGTGCTGGTTGGTCTCCAGCCAGATCATGTGGACCTGCTCCGGGTTGCGCTCCTCGAGCTTCTTTTGCAGATAGCGGCAGCCGTGCTGGTCCTTGCAGAGGTCATAGATCTGGCCACCGACGTTCTCAAGAGCGAGGCCGTTGTAGCGCGACATGGCTATACAGATGTTAGTGGTGTGTCCGCGATTTAAGACTGATCGTCTAGCTTACCTTCATTGTCCATCTGGCGGCGATGTTGAATAACACGAGCCTGGCTGTCACGGGGCTGAGGCTGAGGGTTGTACAGAGCGCCATAGCCAGCGTAGTTCTGAGCAGGGTACATGTTGTTGTTACCATTGAGGTTCATGTTCTGCATGCTCATGGCCAAGAGAGGGACGCCGTAGGGGCCAGGGCCAGAGGCCGGGGGAGGACCGTTGTTGTTGTTGGTGTTGGGCGAGACGTAACCGCTCGGGTAGAATCCGCCGTAGCCGTTGTTCGGACCAGCAGTGGCGGTGCCGTTGGGGGTCTGGTTGCCCTGAGAGATGTGAGGGAAGCCTTGACCCGGAGCACCAGGACCGAAAGGAGCGGCATTGGCCTGGAGAGCCGACTGGATGGAAGGGTAAGAACCAGCCTGCTCGCGGGGGCCGCCCATGTTGTTGTCGTTGGACAGCTCACGGCTGTGGCGGCCGGGAACAGCGCCAGCGGGAATGCGACCGATGCTGGCATTGTGGTTGTGGAAATGCTGCTGGGCATGGTTGTTGGTGACAGGGCCGCCGTTGGTGGTGCTCTTGACAGTAGGCACGTCGTTGGCAGAGAAGGAGCTCTGCAACTTGGGAGGAGTAGCCATGATGTGGTTACCGGGGTGGTTGCCGGGAGGAGAGACGATGGAAGCCTGATTGTCAGAGGGAGCGTCCGGGAAGAACTTCAAGTCGAGCGAGTGGCGGACTGAGGAACGCTTGCCGATTTCTCCAGAAGATGAAGCTCCGTTGAGCGAAGACGTGTTGATAGCAGACAAGCTCTGTTGGGTTCGGTGACGGTTAATATTGCCCCAACCATGGGAGGACGGCGTGTCAGGAGCGGGCGAGGGAGAGAGGGCAAGGTCAAGGGCAGCGGATGATGCAGAGAGCTATACGACGCAAACAATTGTCAACAGTTGATCGGAGGCTGACAAGTTCGAAGGTTTGTGTCGACAGTATTTTCCCTGCAAAACTCTGACCTTGGCGGGAGGAAGGAGCAAGCGGTAAACGAACAGGAAAGGAAAGAGGGATATAGGGGATTCTGCTCCTTCTCTTTTTTTCACTCGCATCCACGGGTGGAATCAGGAAAGGAAAAAAAAAGAAGAGGGCAAAAAAAAAAAGGGCGGAGTAGAAATTTTGACCAAGGTGTGCGGGGTGAATCTGACGGATAGGAGGTGAAGTTGAAGCAAGCTGCAGCTGCAGTAGGTGCGGTTGCTTGCGGCTCGCACCTTTCCGCCCGTGAGGTTCGGGATGTGGCACCTCGCTACCCATGGACAAAATAACCAGGGGGGCCTTTTTCCCCTTGCTGAGCAGGCAGAAGAACCGTAGGCACCAGCTTGCTCATGCATTGAATAAGGTAACAGGGTAAAATAGGTCATGAGAAAGTGAATAGAGAGAGAGAGAGAGAGAGAGAGAGAGAGAGAGAGAGAGAGAGAGAGAGAGAGAGAGAGAGAGAGAGGTGAAATCAAAGTGAGAAACAAAATGCGCAGACATACCATTTGATCGTTCTGGCGAACCAGAGTCGGGAAGTTATCGTCGCCGTTGGCCTGGCCGTACTTGTTCTCGCCAGAATCCTCCTCGCCGAAGAGGAAGCGAGCAGTGCCCGTCTGGTCGAGGTCGGCGCCGTAGAGACCAGTACGAGAGCGCGTGACCGGCATCGAGTAGCGGTTATAGCTGTCGTTGGGGATTCCAGTGTCAGCCATTGCGCAAATTGCTAGAGGTTCGCTTGCTGTGTGGTAAGTATGTTCCTCTTCTTGGGCAAGTCTTGAGTTGTTGGTCGGTCTGCTTCGAGAAGAATCGAAACGAAGGAAGCTAAAAGAAAACAGGAAGGCCTTCAAATATTCCTTGGCGGTCAATTTGAACGAAGCTTCCGAAACCCCGTACGAACGTTTCTTGTGAGAAACGTTCAAGGGCAGGTGCGATTTGTGAGATTGGAACAAAGGATTTGAACGTCGTGAAAGCGTGGTGTGAAGACGCGAGACCAGGTGCGTGATGTTCTGTGGTGTAACTTAAAAGGATAAGTCACTGTTGTTTGGTCGATAGATTTGTGAGACTGTGAGGGCGCGGATGTGGTGGTGTGGGTGTGGAACGGTCGAAGTTGAAAGGGCTTCTGCTTGAGATCGCTGTTGTATCGACGAGTGGAGTGAGGTGATTCAGGAAATCCAGAGGAATGGGATCGAGGGAAGGAGCTCTCGCCCATCTCAAGGAAGGAACTCATCCCATCGAAGGCAAGAGCACTCCTTGAAAACCAACTTGTGGGGCCCCACCGCCGCTCGTTTCTTTCAAACAATACCAGACCTTACCAAACGTCGACAAAAACAACTTTACCGGCCTTCGCTATGCCGTGATACTGACCTTACCCAAGACTTGTCCAGGAAGCAAACATACTGGTCACACTGCACGGAGTACGGCACTTACGCGTTGGAAGATCGATGACTAGTCGGATCTTGGCGAACTGCCTCCTCCTTCTCATCCTCATCGCTGTTTCTGCGAGATCCGGGCACGGATCGGGAAGGCAGATGGTCGTCAAAGGTGAAGCGGGACTGCATCACCGTGGAGTGCGGCGAAGTGAGCTGTGAGCCCGAGCGCCCGGGGCGGTTGAAGAGACCAGGAGGCGAAGTCAAGCTCGAAGTCGAGTAGCGGTTAGGACGCGAGAACATCGTGGGGAAGCCAGACGATTCGTGGTATTCGGGGGGCGTCGTAGGCTCCGACTGGTGGCCCTGACGGAGGTCGTCTTGCATCTTCGCAAGCTCCATCTCCTCGCGGCGCTGGGCCTGCTCCAGCTTCTGCATCTCCATCTCGAAGCGACGCCTCTGCTCGCGTAGTCTCTCATATTCGATCTTTTTCTTCTCAATCTAGACCTCGCAGTTAACAACCTTTCTTCATTGCCGTGTATTTCAACCTTGCAGTGTCTGCTCGTCGTGGCGGTTCTGTTGCGAACAAGGTTCTGCAGCGGGATGGCGGAAGCCCACATACCAATTGAACTTTGTGGAAAGTCTGGAAAACACAATGTCAGTCGCATTCTGACGGACTATAGCGCGCGATGGCGAATGGAGAATTGCGCGTGGAACGCAGCGGGATGACATTCCACCCGCGAATAAGAAACGTACGTTGTTATAATCAGGGCCACCAAGGTCAGGGCCGCGCTGACCGGTGATTGAAGACAATGTTGGTACACGCCCCGAATCCGTGGTGAAGCGGCGAGGCAGGGCACCTCGCCCATCGTGGGCCTGAACAGGCTGCGGGAGGCGGCCGTTCCGCGGAGGTGAGACAAGTGTGTTCATCGTGGACTCGTTACGGGGCGACTGTTGAGATCGGAAGCGCAGCTCGTCCATGGTTCGGCTTATTCCAATAATTCGTACACGGCGCAAAGAGGCCTAGTGGGTGCGGTTTCTATATACTGCTGGCATCAAGCAAGGCCGGCGGTCAGCGACATGAACATGTAGAGGGTTTTGTTGCGACGAAAAAGCAGCGTCGACAGCATCAAATAATGTGGCAGATCGGGTTGCGTGTGACGCCCATGGCGGCAAGAAACAACAGAACAGAGCGAGAGTTTCGTGATTCTGGAAACAAGGGAAATTGGAGGCGGGGTGCGGAACTGGCGAAGTTTGGTGGTGCTGGTCCGGGGGTTCCCTCTTGGTCCTGGCCTTCTCCAAATGCGGGCGGTAGTCGGTGAAGCGCTGAAGAGACAAGGAGAATGATGGCAGTGGACGCATGGCAACAGCTGAAGCTGGGCAGCGTGAGTGAGACTCGAATGTCTCGCCCTGCAACTTCTGTCTCTTCTTGGGCCTCTGGATCGCGGTCCGAAACCGTCACTACCGTTGTCGTTGCCTCTCCAGCTTCTGCCGAGCATCCCTACCTCTTCTTCCCCTTTTCGTTCGGCCTGGCATCCAGCTTTTGCGACGTCGTGCTTTGGGCTGTTGAGGAGCCTCTGGGAGCGCATTACGATGTCTGACTGAGTTGCCTCGCTGATTTGGTGGCAGAACGACACAAAAAACAGCCGCAAGTGTTGTTTCCTCTCTGGTTCTCTCTCTCTCTCTCCGTGTTTGTGTGGTGTGTAATGTGTTTCTTGCCGCCATGGCGCAGTTGCTCCCACAATCGCAGAGCTCTGCCGCACATAGATGCGGGTGTGATACGGCGACCGGCCAAGCACAAAGGGAACAAAAGAACTGGAACATACCTGGTTTTTTTCTCCCGTGGTATTCTTCCCCGGTGCAGTACAGAGTATACACTCAGATAAAACGCACACACCGCGCCCTGGAGAGCCAGGAGCGACAAGTTGAAGAGGTTTTTGGAATACACGGACACACGAGATGGTGTACAGAAAGAGAACTGGGTAGGAAACCGACGACCAACGTGGGGAGAAACGAAAAGAGCAGGCTCGGAGCATAAGAAGGTAATGTAGCGATTTTCAGGTGTGGGAGACAAGCACGGTTGAGAGGGCGTGGCAGGCCAGGCGGCGGCCCAAGATACCCCTGCGCCAACGACGGGGGACCCAGTTTGACGGGGGCCACATCGAGAGAGGAACCACAGACAGGAACCACCACATCTCACTCGCTAACCAGGTGCCAGGCCAGGGCGGTTTTGCAAGTCGGAGGGGTGGTTTGCTTTGGTACCCAAAGAACCCTGGTAAGTCCGCAAAGGATATCCGTACTGAGTGAGATGCGATGGACTCCGTACCGCAGGTAGCCACCGACTACCTACCATACACTCGAGTGACGAGAAAGCCCCTCGTTCCTCTCTCTCTCTCTCTCCCGCTCAGAGACTGGCTGGAAGCCAAGGGGAGACAAAGTACCCTGCGCCGTATTGCGTTACCACACCTTGCCCTGTCCTTGTCAAGGTAGCGTCCAGTCCTTCGCGCGCCGTACCTGGCCAGGTCGGGAGGAGAGTTGCGGGTACTCTGAGCAGGTACAAAGTCTGGATAGCGTCAAGCTTGCACTGTACATGAAGTAGGTAGGCAGCTAGGGTAGCCGCTGTGCCTGTGCATGTGGTTGATGCTCGACGGGTGTGCTGGTGTGTGTGTGTGTGTGTGGGTGGGTGTGGGTGGTGAATGGTGGTGGTGGCTCTTTGAGTCTGACGCAGCGCAGCTTGGGCTTTCGCAATTCCTCTTCTCATGAAATTCCCAAAAAGGCAAAACAGCCAGTGGGAGGCGAGGGGCGGTCCTACGAACCCTGTTCGAAACCCTCCCGCGCCCAGGAGCAGCAGCAGCAAGACTGGAGTGTGAGCCCGCAGATGTGGTTGCACTCTATATTCGCGGGATACCTCTCAAGTACTAAAACAACTCGAGTCTGGCTGTGGCAGTAATTGGCGTTTTGTGGCATTCAGAGGTTGCCATCAAGTCAGTACTGGTAGAGGTGGGACAACGATAGAACGATGAACATTGTAGTTGAATCGGTAGCGGTTGATTGCTGCAATATACCGACTCGTCTGTCGATATCTCGTGACTTGTTCGTCCGTGTCTGGCTTCATTTCCTCTCCTCTTGTCCTCTCCTCTCGTGACCTGCACGGAGCGAGCATTCCAGGCCCATTGCCCAATTACACACCCCTCCGCTCCCCTCACTGTGTGTCTCTCTGTCTCTTTACCCCCTCGCCTTTTCCCCTCCTCACCTGCTGAGGGGCTGGTGCACTTGACAGCCATAGAAACCGCCGAGTCTAGCAGGTCGGAGGTCGTCCGTACTAGTCCCAGTTGACCATCTTGTTCCGCTTTCCTGTCAGGGGCTGTCTCTTGCGGGTGTAGCACGGTGCGGATGGCCCACAACCCAGGCTTGTCAAGATTGTGCGAGCGTTGACGACAAAAATGGCTGTTGTTGCCAGTGCATCGGAAACTCTATCTCGGTCTGACAGGAGGCCCGAGATCCCCTATTACTCAAGTCTGCCAGGCCTGTGGCGACATGTTCTCAGGTTCGCTGAGTTGATGCTCCATCTTCGGTTGGACGGTCACCGCCTTGTATCGTTTCCGTGCTTGACTTTTGTCGAATTGCCAATCTGCCAAGTAGGGCTTGGGGCTTTGGGAATCACCTTGTATATGATTCGTTTTCGCACTGACCGCGAAGATAGCTCCGAACCAAGGACTTGCATGCTTCGTTGAGCGGTGAAGCGGCAGCCTGTGCTGTGGGCTGTCAAATATGTAGCTTTGTTTCTGTCTGCGAGCCTAGCAGACCGTCTGTGCCGCACACTGCCTGCGTTGCATCGCTCTTCGGGACTTCGATAGCCCTGTGCGACATCGACGTGCTTTCCCCGGATCGAACGAGTGCGGCCAAAAGATCTAGATATTCATGCCAACTGTCACACCGTTGCGTTGTCCGCGAGCTTAATTGACAGTACACGTCGCTGCTCGCAACAAATCTGTGAATGAGGAGTTGCGTCGAGGTAGACAAGGACTGATCGCACGTCTGTGCCATGGCCGTCGAGGATCGGCTCAACCGAGTGGACACACAAGGGCTATTCGCCAACGAACAAGATAGGATGTGCACATGGGGTACGTAGAGCATCGGCTCTTATTTGACCATCCAAGTTATTCGAGGCCTACCATTGTGTGCCTGGCCCAAACGTCAAATCGCTCGTCAATGGGGAGCTCCGTTCGCCGTTGACACCGAAGAGTCTATAGCCGTCGTCAGAAGTGAAAAGGCTTGTTGTTCTGGCCAGTATCAAAGACCCTCTCTCTAGATTTTGAAGAAACAAGTGACACGGCTCATGTGTGAGGTTTTGTTCATACTCATGGATATGTTGCGGTGAGATCCATCTTGAGACAAGTGCTGGTCTTTGCCCTTATTGGTCCATCCTGCAGCAGTGGTTTTTCTTGAAAATTGATGATATTCGTGGCGATATTCAGCGTGTGAATGCGAATATAGAGCGCCAGTTAACGAATGGATTGCAACCCTTCGTCGGTGAACCGCTGAACGGGGCTTCCGAAGATTACTCGATTCTGAGTATCAGGTCCATCCTTACCCTTCTTTTCTGCCGCTCCGAAGAGCTCCACAATATTTTTCTTCTTCTTTTTCTTCGCAAGCCGCTGGCGGGGAGACAGGGTCTTCCCGAACTGAGGGTCTCTGGCTAAAACTGGCCTGGCTAGGCGGCGCGCGAAACTCCCATGGCTTGTCAGTACTTATTCACACAGCAAGACTAAGAAAACCTCCATGTGGGGAGAAGACTATGCGTTCTCAACGCTCGAGATTCCGAACACACAAGGGAGCGAATGCCTTGCAGCTTCATACAGGATGCATATCGATTCGCCTCAAAAGAGCCAACATGTGCGTGCCTTTTATGGCTGCGGCTTGGGTACGGTTGTCGAGGCCATCTGTCCCTGCAGGCGAGGTGAGGAGACGAACGACGCAAAGGGCCAGGTGTACGGAGTACTTGGAGCTTCCAGCCTCATTCTCAGCACGGTTTTGACGAGAACACACAATTCAGAAACATGCGCGATGTGCCCCGCGATTCGGGCACCGCGACGCAGCACCCAAGTGGCAGGCCTTGTCCTATTGGCGCCGCATCTTGGACCGTTGCTGGTGCCAGGTGGGCTGGCGAGGGTCTCGAAGTGACTTGCATCTTCCCACCTTCCAGCCGCCGGGTGGTTTGCGAGGATCCATGGTCGGGGTAGAGGCTCCAGTGCTTCGTCATAATGCGGCTAGATGGTTTCCTGAGAGGCATGGAATGGCCCGTCCTGGCTTGAAAATCGCGAAAATAGCAGTCAGAAAAACTGAATTGTTGGGCGGCAAGCATGGGCTGTCGCAAGCTTCTAGCGGCTCGGTTCTACACCGACTTTTAAGGCCCGCATTGAGTGGACTATCTGCGAGTCTGCGACAAAGTAGGCGTGGGCAGCGGCATTGGCGTGGAGAGTGACAAAAACTCCAGGCTCGGGGCCACAGTGACTTGTGAGACGGGGTCTTAAGGGAGGCTTCGACAGGTATCGGCTTTGTACCTTGGCGGCGGGGGAAGTTCGAGGATGGCAGAAGACGTTCTGAGTCTGACTGTCGTCCCATGTCACTTGCAGGATGCTTGTTGACGGATCCTGGTTGAAAGACGACGGGCTAGAATTCTGAATGGTCTTCCATATGCCATATTCTGCGCTAACTCGAGGAAAGTCGGCTCGACGATCAACTAGTTCGGATATTCCCTCGCCACCCCTTTTTTCGATTGCCATTCTGGCACTGGGCCCTTGTCGTCGAGGAAAGGTCCCATCAGGCAAAGGCGGCAAAGCCCTTGGCTCTGGCTCCTCTGCGTTGCGATACCCCAGTAGGAGGAGGGGTTCTCCGATAACAGAGTGGTTGGACCCTCGATCGGCCGCAATCTTCGGGGCCGCGCAGGTCGTGACTCGCGGGGTTGACCTGTTGCATCATAGGTGACAATCTCCGCCAAGGTTCAACGTCTTTGTGTGTTTCCGGGTCAACAATGACGGTGGCAGAGCCTAAGCTACGCCGCTGAGAACGGTTTCAGGAGACTGTAAGAAGCGGCAAACGAAGAATCGACAGCTTCACATTCTCCCGCGATCGACTGTTGTGCCCTTGGAAGTGGCGTTCATCGTAGCTTTGAAGCTGGAGGGACGTGTGCTAGGTGTAGGTATCCGTTTCGTTGTATCGCGGGGCAGCTTCACTACCTAACCGATCGGGGTCCGATATCTGGAGTCGAAGAGGGGCAGTTGCAGTTGATGGGATGCGACTTGGCTTGCCACAGTAGGTACAGTATATCCTCTGCCAACGCAACATGCAGACGCCGCCGTCGCCGCCGCCGCATCACCAGCTGCGGGTCGTGCAAAGGGATACCCTGCGGGGAGCATTCTGATCCCATGCAGGCGTGACGACAGAATAAGACCGTAAAGTGATCATGGATACGAGCAGCGAAAGGATTTGCTGTCAGAAGCCCTAGAAGCAACTCTAGTGTCGTGAACTGCCTCTCATCTAAACAACATCAGACTACACAAGCTATTGTAGAGCAGGATGACGAAGCAATGCAATTCCAGCTTACTGCTGAGATTGGGTGTGTAAAAGCCATGCAATCAGAGTCTTGTCCCGAGGGCCCATACTCATACTCGGTAGACCCAGGCTGTTGAAATAGAGGCTTTTGTCTGTCACGAAGAGGGGTAAAGTATGAAGTAGAGAGAAAAGATGGTCGAAGGCGGGGCATCAGCAGACGACAAGGCAACCGCAGGCCCTGGCTGTTTTCTCTCCTCCCTTGCTCAGGCGTGGCTTCCCAAGTTTCCACAGCCTAAAGTGGTGACCTGGAACGGCGACAACCCCCACTCGTCAACCACTTAAGGAAAGTGTCCGGAGTCCCTGGTCAACTTGGCTTTGGACATCGGAGGCAGTCGCGGCAATGTGCCTCCAGCCAGGTGCGGTGCTGCTTCATTGGAATGCCAAAATGGCAACGCTGGCCGAGTTGCTCACATTCTATTATCCACTTTCTTTGACAATGGCACAAGCATTGGAAACTCAAGCACGGGTTGTTGAGTAAGGTACGGGTACGCAGTATGCGTGTAAATGGTCCCTGACATTGACGGCGCTGCACAACGTACGAGGCGGGCCCAAAGCCCTGGTTTTGGGCACCCGTCAACAGAGAGTCTAGCAGAGATCGAACCCACAGATGGAGTGACCACGACCTGATTAGCGGTAGATTCAACAAGTTGCTTCAAAGTCATCATGCCACTTGGCATCCCTCTTATGAGGATGTATGAGCTTTGCAAACTAATCACCTTTCACCATACCATGTGGGTGCCTGAACCCAAGGTGCACCATCAATCACCTTAGTCCAGGAACTAGGTCCATCAGCAGGTTGGGATGAACTGTGTGGCCTGTCTCTTAACCTTAAGGCGTTCTAAGGTAAGTCAGTAAGCAATAAAGTAAGGCAGGGCAAGGTGGACAACGCATGGCAGAGCATGTTGCTGCGAGGCGGGCTGACACAGCTCGGCGTGGCTCACCGAGGCCAATCCAGGTGTGCCCCGCCCAGCCCGGTCAGGTCGTCGCCGTCCCAAGTTCACCATGCTTACTAAGACTCTCAACTTCCTACCTACCTTACCACTACCAGTGACACTCAGGTCGGTCGCGCAAAGGTGGGGCTGCTGCCAGCACCCGGCGCCGCGGGGCCAAACTTTTCTGTTGCCCACCACTTGCCTCAAACTCGCGATGTGACTCGACCGCCTGCATCTCAAAAATCTGCGATAGACCCTCCTTCCGCGTTGCCGCAAATACCCAACGACACATAATGGTCACAGGCGGAACACGGTGACCATCATGCAGGACGACGGCTTCGAGGCTCTTTTGGAGCCCTTTTACAACGGAAAGAAGCTGACAGATCCTATCTCAACCAAGGAGGATAAATTTCAGCTCTTACCCGCCTTTCTCAAGGTCAAGGGTCTCGTCAAGCAGCACATTGACTCATACAATTTCTTTGTCGAAAATGAGATCAAGGAAATTGTCCGCGCCAATCGCATTGTTCGAAGCGATGTGAACAGTTCATTCTGGCTTGAGTATGCCACCATTTCCTGCACCATTCTGCATGAGCTTTGTCTAACGCCTTGCCAGGTTCACTGATATCAGAGTTGAGCGACCCAGTCGCGTCGACTTCAACGATATCAGAGCCCAGAATGAGGTTACACCAATGGAGTGTCGTTTGCGCGACATGACTTACGCTGCACCCATCATGGTCGACATCGCCTACATTCGCGACAAATCCAAGATTGTTCGGAAGAATGTCCCCCTCGGACGCCTTCCCGTCATGTTGAAGAGTTCCATCTGCAGACTTGGTGGAGCCAACAACGCAGAGATGTCGCGCATGAATGAGTGCCCTCTTGATCCCGGCGGCTACTTCATCATCAATGGCACAGAGAAGGTCATTCTCATTCAGGAACAGCTGAGCAAGAACCGTGTCATTGTCGAGGCCGACGAGAAGAACAGCGTCATCACAGCATCCGTCACCAGTTCGACTCACGAACGCAAGTCTAAGACGTACGTGACGCTCAAAAAGGACCGAATTCTTCTCACTGCCAATATTTTGGTGGAAGGCATCCCAATTGTCATCATCCTAAAGGCGCTCGGAGGCCTGTCAGATTACGAAATCATGCAACTCGTTGCCGGCGACAACGGAAAATATCAAGACGAATTCCTCATTCAGTTCGAGGAGGCTACCAAGGTTGGCGTGTATACGCAACAGCAAGCTTTGGAGTATATCGGCGCCAGAGTAAAAATGGGCAAAAGTAGGGTCCCCTTCGCTGCGCAAGTCCGAAGAAATCACGTCGAAGAAGCTCTCGACGCCTTGGCGAACCTCATCATCGCCCACGTTCCTATTGAGGGCCTGGACTTCTATCCCAAGGCTGTCTACGTGGCTTTCATGACGCGACGTGTCTTGATGGCGCAAGCCGACCCGAGTCTCGTTGACGACCGTGACTTCGTCGGAAACAAGCGACTAGAGTTGGCCGGACAACTTCTCTCCCTACTTTTTGAGGATTTGTTCAAGCAATTTTGTGGCAACGTTAAGAGCAGTATCGACAAGGTTCTCAAGAAGGACAACAGAGCTGTTCCTCTCGATGCCGTCAACATGATCAGCAACCACGCCAACATGATTGGTCAGGGCATCAATCGAGCCATCCAGACAGGAAACTGGACCGTCAAGCGTTTCAACATGAACCGAGCCGGTGTTACCCACGTTCTCAGTCGTCTTAGCTACATCAGCGCTCTCGGTATGATGACTCGAATCAGCTCGCAGTTTGAAAAGACTCGCAAAGTCTCTGGTCCCCGTGCACTTCAACCATCGCAATGGGGTATGCTTTGCACTTCAGATACACCCGAAGGTGAAGCCTGCGGTTTGGTCAAGAACTTGGCTCTCATGACGCACATTACAACCAACGTCGAGGAAGCGCCAGTCAAGCGATGGGTCTTCACCCTGGATGCCGGTGTGGAACCTATCCGGAACTTCTCAGGCGGAGAAATGCACCGTGAGACTTCGTACGTCATTCACATAAACGGAACCCCATTCGCATTGACCAGATACCCGAAGCGATTTGCGGGCAAGTTCAGAACGATGAGAAGGCGCGGCTGGATTTCTCCCTTCGTCAGCATTCACATCAACAACCACTTCAACGCAGTCCATGTTGCCACCGATGAAGGACGCATTTGCCGACCTTACATCATTGTCAAGAACGGCAAGCCCAAGCTCAAGGAGGAACACTTGAGACTCTTACAACTGGGCAAGGCTACGTTTGATGACTTTTTGACGCACGGAATTGTCGAGTATCTTGACGTCAACGAAGAGAATGACACTCTCGTTGCTCTCTACGAGAAAGACGTTACCCCTCTTACTACACACATGGAAATCGAGCCTTTCACTGTTCTTGGCGCAGTCGCTGGCCTCATTCCCTTCCCTCACCACAACCAATCTCCTCGAAACACCTACCAATGTGCCATGGGTAAGCAAGCTATTGGCGCCATCGCATACAACCAATTCAACCGTATCGACACCCTGCTTTACACCCTTGTCTATCCGCAAAGACCAATGGTCATCTCCAAGACAATTCAGCTTGTCAACTACGATAAACTCCCAGCTGGTCAGAACGCAACAGTTATTGTCATGTCGTACTCGGGCTACGATATTGAGGACGCGTTAGTCTTGAATAAAGCATCTTGTGATCGCGGTTTCGGACGCTGTCAAGTATTCCGCAAGTATACGGCCGAGCTGCAAAAGTACCCCAACGGCCGACGCGAACGCATTGGTGATCCGGTCAACGACGAAAACGGCAGGACGACCAAGCACGAGGCCTTGGACGACGACGGTCTCGCCATTGTGGGCTACAAGGTCAATTCGGGCGAGGTCATGATCAAGAAGGAAACCCCTCTCGATACTGGATCCACAGGCATCGGCATGGATCGTGGACCAAGCGAGTTCAGAGATTCGTCCATCTCGTACAGAATTGCGGATCCTGCGTACATCGACAAGGTGATGGTGTCCCACACGGAGAGGGAAACGATGGTGGTCAAGGTTCAGACACGGCAGACAAGAAGACCGGAGCTTGGTGACAAGTTCTCGTCTCGTCACGGACAAAAGGGTGTTGTTGGAATCATCGTCGACCAGGAGGATCTGCCATTCTCTGATACGGGCCTGGTTCCCGATATCATCATGAACCCTCACGGTTTCCCGTCTCGTATGACTGTTGGCAAGCTGCTTGAATGCTTGACTGGCAAGGCTTCGGTTCTGGATGGACGAAAAGACTACGGATTCGGCGACGCTTTCCGCTCTCACCCCTTGGAACAGATGAGCGCTGCCCTGGTTGATCACGGTTTCTCCTGGGAAGGCAAAGACTACTTCACTTCGGGTATCACTGGAGAGCCCCTAGAAGCTTACATTTTCAACGGCCCCATCTACTACCAGCGCCTGAAGCACATGGTGCAAGATAAGATGCACTCTCGTTCTCGTGGTCCCAGAGCCATTCTTACCCGCCAGCCCACAGAAGGTCGTTCCAGAGACGGTGGTCTCCGCCTGGGTGAGATGGAGCGCGATTGTTTGATTGCGTACGGTGCCTCTCAGCTGCTGCTTGAGCGTCTCATGATCAGTTCCGACGGAACACAGATTGATATTTGCCAGCAGTGCGGTTTGTTCGGTTACAAGGGGTACTGCCACACGTGCAAGAGCACCAGAGAGGTTACACAGATGACGATGCCCTACGCCGCCAAACTTCTGGTGCAGGAGCTCATCAGTATGAACGTCGGCGTGAGGCTGCAGCTCGCAGACGAGTTCCCTCATCCGAGATGATGAGATGGCGCGACGTGTATAGTACTTGAAGTGTATCACGCATAGCCCGGGATATTGGAGTTTTGACAAGGACGGCGTAGGGTCTAAAAGCATAGATAGCACACGAGAAACGTAGATATCAATCGAGGGTTCACAAGCAATTGAATAGATAATTCCCTGGGCACCTTTGCACTTGAGATCCCCTCCCTTACCAAGCACCATGTATCTTCATTGGCAGTTAGACGTTGTCTCCCGTCTGGCCCGATGTTAAAGTGGGGACTCCATCCGGGCGTGCGGGTCCTTCTCCGCACCCCCGGCCACTCTAAGCTTGAGGTACCTGAACCATGGGATTTCCGAAGCTAGAGCTTCACCCCTGCGAATTCTGATCCGTCACTTCCTCCGCAGCGTATTTGTTCCTGACATCATCCTTTGTAACCGTCGACTCCGCGTGCTTTTTCTCTTCCCTACTTACGTCCAACGGCGCAGAGCTCTCTCTTCCTCGCGCGATATTCTCCTAATATATGACTGCCGCTCTCCAGTACCCATGGCCACCTTGCGCCTAGCTACCTCGCCCGGCGTGCGCGCCGCTACGACGTCGCCGCTGACTTCGCAGCTGTGGTCCAGCGCCGCCGCCGTAAATGCGGCCACCGTAAGCACGATTCCCGCCGCAGCTGTAGCTGCCGCCGCCGCAGCTGCTGCGAATACTACCACAACGACGGCAAAGACGATAGTTCCTCACCCGCCGTCCGTCCTGGCGCGTGCGAGAACGAAGGCCGTCGAGCCGCAGAACCGCTACTTCGACCCTTCCAACGCGACCCTCTCCACCACCGGCGGCGGTCCCGGCAAGAAGCCAGGCGATGAGAATAATGTCAATTTGGGCAAAAGTATGCCTTTCTTTACCTACCCTACGTGGACGAGCCAGAAATGTTGCGCAACTAGAGGGCTGACAGCATCCCAATGACACAGCCCTTCGCATCCTCCAAGACCACCTACCTCGGGTCCTCCAGTCCCCGCTCCCGCAAGAGATCCTCGCCCCCAACATCTCGCTCCACCTCTTCCCGACAACGCACCCGCACCTCCCGACCGTCTCCGGCCGCGTCGCCTACACCGCCGCCCTCTGGACCTCGCCCATTGCCTGGAACCGCCTGCCGCTGGTCGGGAACGTCCGCCTGTCCATCATCTCGGAGCGCGTGACGAAGCAGCCCCTCCATTTTGCGCCGTTACACCCTGGCGCTGTGCCTGAACAGCTGGTCGTCAGGTGGTGCGCGTCCGGCAAGAAGAATGGCGGAGGGGTCGGCGGCGCCGCGGCATCACCTTCGTCTGGCGCTGCGACGTCGGAAGGAGAGGGCGTGAGGGCGGAAGACGGCGGGGATAAAGCGTTTACGGGGCTTTTCGTGTTCCAGTTTGATGCCGAGGGCAGGATATTGAGCCATACGATCGAAACGGTACAAGAGGGTGGCGATTGGGAGAAGGGCGTCGGCGCCAAGGTCGTCGGGCTGACGGATTGGCTCCTTGGTGGGATGCGGAGGCAAGGAGACAACCCCAGCCCTGCGTTTGAGGGTCTCGGCAAGGGCAAGCAGTGAGGCTGGATCTTTCATCACTGCGTAGAGGTCGCTTCACTGAATGGGCATGGTATTGTAAATATGCGGGAGGAATGGCGCAACGGAAACGGCGTTACGGATGTTTGTGGAACATACCAATTTCATCATTAGGCAGGCGGCATAACAACCCTCTCCTCTATTCATATGTACAACAGCTGTATCATCAATCCAAGGATAAGTCTCACCCGTTAACTCCAGAAACTCCCGTATCACGCAGAAAGAGCATTTCTGTGGGCATCAATGGACCCCTCCTAAGGGCACACCGTCACGACAGATCTCTTGCCCCCTTTCTCCTCGTCCTCTTCGGCATGACAAGCCAAGACATCAGCCAGATCGCCCTCCCTGACCATCAAAATCTGCGTATCCGCCAGACTAGAACTCGTCACCGTCGTTCCCAGAATCCACCCGTTCCAAATCTTCTGCATAATATTATCCGGATTCAACATAAGACACCCCTTCATACCCTCCTCGTCCCGTGGCGTTACGGCAACCATCAACCGCTTCGCGCCCGCGAACCGATCGACAACGTGCCACAGACACCCAAAGATCTGATCCGACTCCTGCTCGGGGTAATGCAGCTCCTCAAACGCACAGGCGACGTGCCGCACGCGCCTCGTATCCTCCTTGCGCAGGAAATACACCATGGGACTGTTGAAGCCGTACTGGTCGTAGGCCTCGAGCTCGCCGACGAGGTAGAGGGCGTCGAGGGCGAAGTTGAACCAGACGCGCGGGGGGCGGGCGATGGGGGTGTCGGAGAGGAGGGCCGAGATGCGCCAGCCAAAGGCGAGTTCGTAGTGTTTTAGGCCGAGGGCGCGGGATTCGCGGCTGATGAGGAGGATGAGGGGGCATGTTGGGTTGAAGACCCGTTTGCCTTGTTCTTCTTTGGCCTCTGTCCCTGTTGCCTCTCCTTCTGTCGTTACTCCTATCGTTCCTTCTCCTGTCGTTGCGCCCCCTGTAATTCCTCCTCCTGTCGTCCGCCCTCCTGTTGTTTCTTCTCCTGTTGGACTGCTTTCTGATGCTGTATTCGTGGGAGAATAAGAGGAGGAGGAAGAGTAAGAGAAGGATAAGGGGTCATAGGGTGCGGCGAGTGAACGGTTCGCAAACGCCTCACGCCGGACAGGCAGCCTGGCGTCGCGCTCGAAGCAGCAGGCCGTCACGACGCGGGGTGCAATGAGATATGACCATATCTTGAGGCGGATCTCCGGTGGCAGGTCCGGGAAGCGGTGAAATTCTGAGAGGGCCGCGAGAGACGCTGCGCGCGGGGCGTTGAGGCCGTCGTCGAAGAGGGAGAAGTCGAGCCAGAATTTGGAGTCCGAGGTGCGTGCTTTCAGGTGGGCTTCTTCGTCTTGTAAGAGAGGCGGCGGGCTGGATACGGTTTCCGTTGTAGGAGCTTGGTCGATGTCCATTGTTTGGCGGTGAGGGTGAGGATGAAAGATGCGTGTATGTGTGTCTCGATGAGCGCCGGCTTGATGGATGTGAGATAAGAAGTTGGTGAGATGATTTAACTCTCTCTAGTGAGATCCGTGAATGAATCGGATGAGACCTTAGCCGATCTACCTAATGAAAGTGAGCGTCCAGTTCCGAATCTGGAGTAACACCCTTCTCTCATAAAGACGGTGAGAGAGGCGATGGTAAACGTGTGATGAGGTGAGGTGAGGTTGCGGAGAGGGCCCGGCCGCCGGAGCTTCGCGACCGCACCACAAAACACACAGCCCACTTTCCTAATCGGGCCAACTTGGCCACCTCGCCTCGGCGTTGCGCAGCGAATCACAGTGACATTCGCCGCACCCAGACTTGACGCAGCCAGCAGGTTTTTTCTTTCTCGATGAAAGGGAGGGTTGGTATTTCCTTGTTTCTCTTCGCCACTGACCAATGTCAAGTCTTGTCAATTCATTGATCTGAGATACCGATAGAGGGTGCTGAGACAGAAGAGCTTTGATATTTTGACAAGCAATGTTTTAAATATTTCATAACCCTCTATAATTTCACCCTCGTTTCAATCTCGCTGCCAAAAGTTTGGGAGGCGGCTGATCATGATGCGGCAAGTCTAATTTATCAAAGAAGCACTCAGCGTAGAGGGGATGTCCAACTCCCGTAACATATAAAAACAACCAAAAACAATAAACACAAAGCCCTATAGCTCAGCCCATTTTAATCATTCTCAACCTACTCCAAGGTCGATTCTCCGCCCGACAAGTGCTCTCTCCTAACATTCTTGACAGTGCCTCGCTTGCGGAAATAGCTGAGCAAGTACACGCCCTCATATATTTCGTTCTGCCTCTCATCCTTGCCCTCCTCGACTTTGCTGATGTATACGTTGCCAAGGAGCGAGGCTGATATCGTGCACTGGGAGACATAGGGTTAGCTTGATGGTGAAAAGAAGGTTGCTCGAACATCGGTACTTGACTTACAAGGACCATAAAGGGACAGATGGCGACAAATGCCCAGACAACACCCATCTTGGCGTCATGGGTGATCTGCTGCTGCGTGGCCGCCGGCAGACGGCTGAGGGCTTCAAAGTCTCTCAGGGGCGAATCCTCACCGATGCCAGAGGCGTTGTTGAAGACAGTCGTCATGATGGTCAGGCCCAGAGTTCCGCCAAAGGGGTAGGCGACTGCCATGAGGGAAATGACGGCCGCGATTTTCTTGGGGAAGTAGCCGACGCCGTGGAGAGGGACTGGACCAAGGATTAGTCTCACTGCTATGGATCCGAGGGCTTGTGAGGAGAGAAGTACTTACCGGGCATGATACGGAGACCGGTTCCAACGCCTGTGAGAGCCATCATCCCGTATACGGTAGGGTTGTGCTCTGTCCAAAGTGCCCACGCCAACAACCCGATGCCGAGCATTTCGAGAATCGATCCGAGAAAGATGGGTGGGAACGTCTTGCGCGGCCAGCCGTTGCACATGAAGGCCGAGGCATACACACCGACTACAAGATTCACTTGTCAGGAACTCCTTTGGTCGTGAATAACTCTGGGAAAACTTACCTGCCAAGCCCGGGGTAAAGTACAGCAGCTGTACGCCAGACTGGTCCGCCGACCAAAGCTTCACCATTGTAAAGTAGATGTTGCAAAAGTACAGAACAGAGTACATGGCCATACCCGTCGCAAAAGAGGTGTAAAACAAGAGGCCAATGTCCCTGTTACGGACCAACTCCCAAGGGATCATGGCCTTTTGCCACGGGAAGCGGCGGGCCAGGGCCTTGCCCGGGGACATGTGGTACTCCCAGACGATGAACAGGATGCTGATTACAACACCTAGGATGAGCGTCACGAGAACGGCGGGGCTAGTCCACGAGTACGTTGCGCCGGCCCATGTCAAGCCGAGGACCAGAAGACCGAATCCAAACAGGAAGAGGAGCTGGCCTCCGATGTCGATTGTCTGGAGACGCTTTTTGAAGGTCGTTCGTCGGCTCGTCTGTGTCGTCTCGTCAAGCTGGGGAATGGGCTGCGGCCCGAGGAGTTCCGATCGAAGGACAAAGTATAGGATGAACATGCTGACGAAGGCGATGGGCAAGTTAATGCCGAAGCACCATCGCCAAGAAGAACCGCTCGTGATGTATCCTGACCGTCTGTTAGTTTTCGCATCTCGATGGCAATACAGTGTTGATCGTTGGCTCACCTCCCAAGACAGGACCCAGTCCCCATCCCAAGACACCTCCTAAGAAGGAGAAGATTGCCCAGTTCTTGGCGTTCTCGCGCAGGGTCACCTTGTCGGCGATGACGATGCGGACGAGGACGTTGAGCCCAGCACACGCCAGGCCTTGGAAGCCGCGGCCGAGCAGGAGGACGGGGAAAGCATCTGTCGGGGCGCCGGTGCACAGCGCGCTGCCGATGAGCATCAGCACCAAACAGGTCTGTATCGAGACGTGGCGTCCGAAGATGTCGGCGATCTGGCCCCAGAAGGGAATGAAGGCGGCTGATGTGAGGTTGAAGGCTGCGATGATCCAGTTGAGCTGGCGAGTTTCATCTGCGTGATTGTTAGATACAGAAGGGGCGGTGAATATGGGTATATGGGGTCGGGGGCTTACGGAAGTCGGCTGCAATCCAGGGCAAGGCACTGGCGACCTTTTGGATCTCGTCAGCTGTGTTACATGTTTGAGGGCGACAAAGAGGGTACTTACGATTGTCACGTCCAAGGCTTGGACTACAAAGGGGAGTACTAGGCCGGCAAAGAGCTTGACTCTGTACTTGAGCTGGGCCTTGCGCTCAGACTTGCATGTCGGGCAGGGTCCAGAGGCCGAATCGAATTGGTGACCGCAAGTCGGTGTACTTGAAGTTCTCTCTAAGGGGTTTTGGCTGGTCTTATCCTGGTAGGTTGTGTTCTCTCTCTTTGATCCTTCTGTTCCTGTTAACTTTGTGGCTGGTGTCGTTTGCGTTTTGCCCGAACCCTTCAGGGCCCGGTAGGCCTTCTTCCCCAAGTAGATGAAAACCATGTCGAAGTTGCCTCTTAGTGGTAGGACGGGTCGTTGATGTCTCTTTCGGTGGAGGAGATATTGCCTAGGGCTGCTTGTCTGAGTATGCACTCTTGCAGTTATGATGATGTCTGGTAGATTCGAACTCGATGAGTTGGGGATAGGAATAAAATGCTTGATTGAATATCGACTCTATATAAGCTTGATCTGGGGGTCGAGGGTGTGATATAAATTTTCGCCAGTGACAGTCTACTTGACATCCAGATACATGAAAGGTAGTTCATCCTGAGACAGGGGCTGGTACAGAATAACCAGACCGGAATGGGCTTCCGCATAGACCGGGTAAGACGAGCTCTCAGACCGTTTAGACGAGTGCGAATGCAGACATTGATGGAGGCAGCCAGTGGATCTTCTCGAAGCGCTCGCCGAGATGTTTCCTGCTTCGCAGCAACAGCAGCACGGAGATAGACGAAGATTGGTCTTCATGGCCCACATATCACCCACAGGAACCGGAAGCAGGTAAACGCCAGATGCACAGCCCATCGAAGACGACGACGTCGACTAGGTATCTAATCGTATACGGTAGTCGATGATTGGCGCCTTTGCGATCACACTGGTGGAATGGGTGTGGCTCATCGTTCCCGTTGTACACGCATGAGGCTAAGGATTAAGGGACGATCAAGAACCTTGGAAGACTAAGGTACCTCAAGGTAAACCATTTGCGGTTGCCGGGCGTCGTTGGAAGATGGCAGAGGGCGGCAGGCCGGGAGGAGAGGACAAGCTCTTGCCAAGGCGGGCCAAGGCAGACCTACCTATAGCTTATCGATGCGATCCGGCCAATCGATAAGATGTTTACAGCATGCACGTATCCACAAGAGGGAAAGCCAAGAATTAGGCGAGTGCGAGGGTTGTGGAGATGGTTCCAATCCTCTGGATCTTTCTCTGGACCACCTTTACGAATTTCTACTTCTTGCCGCCCATCCAAGCCCCACGACACACACGCTCAGCTCGTGGATTCAACCAAATCGCGACTAGTCGCATTTATGATGCATGGGAGGGAAGAAGAAATAACGAGACGCCTGCAGGATGTCATTCTCGGCCATTCCCGCTCGTTAGGTACTCAAGGCACGCACCGTAAGGTAGTACGGATTGACCATAACCAACTTATCCGCACGGTCGGATAACCATCGTGCCCCTCGAATCGAATTCCCAAAAGAGAAAAAAACACCCTAAACGGACTGCGCCTGTCAGCACCAAAGGCCTTGTGCGCCTCGCATCGTCGTCATTCGGAAGTCGGCACGAGGCTTCTCAAGCGTCGAATCGGTATCCTTTTTGGGACCTTCGTTGGATGCATCAAAGCAATTCACCACGAGTCTGCTTTTGAAAGCCCACATTGGGGGGCATCAGATAATTATTATTACTTGGCGATCGCATGGCTCAGTATTGGCAAATGCTTGTTGTGCTAAGTGTCAGCCCGTCATACGGAGTATCCTTGACGCCGATCCGTACTCCGTACTTGTTTCCCTGAGATTGGACGAACTGACAGATACGGTGCAATACGGACCCATGCGGGCTGACACCTTGAGGCTTGGGCAACGGCCAACCTCGACCTGATTATCGGGGTAGTGGAGAAACTTCAACTTCTTGCCTAATTTCCGGCTGATTGAGCGACTTCCTCAACCATCAACCAAGTGGACCCTGCAATCAGCCTCCTCGAAAGTTTCCATCCATGCCAACTTCTTCTTTCGTTCCAAGTATCCGTAATGTAGCAAAACCTTCGCCCTCTTTCTCGCAAGTCGCCGGCGGGGGCGGGCGGCGGCAGAAACGGCACCGGCCACGAAGCACGGGGCAGCACGCGGGCACGAATCAGAATGTCATTGCCATGCCACTGCCACGCGCAGTTCGTCTGGAGTCGGTGTGGTCAGTCTGATTACTTTTGCTTCGCCATAAGCTTAACCCCCTCGAGAACTTCGACGAGGCCCACTGAACACACACACGAAGCTTTTTTACATTTCTTCACTTCCCAGAATGCCGGGACGCCGGGTGTCTATTGCGCCTTGCGATATGACTTTTCTGCCTTCCTTTGGGGTCGACTTTCAAGACCGGACAATTAGTGATCAAACTGAATCTCTTTGCTAATACCTGAACGCAAACTCCACAAACCAACGTCCATCATCAAGGTTGTGATTACGTACACTTTACAGTGGGATGCGTGGCGTGACAGCTGTACGTCTACTGGGTTTTCATCTGGTGGCCTCCTGGCTTGGGTCATTGGGACCGCCAAGTATCATGACTTCTTCACTCTCACTTCATGCTACGGGAAACGAGAGGTCGAGTCTTTTGACTTATTATGCACATTGTGGTATTATTATTTACATCGCAGTATGAGTAATCTGCTTGAACAGCCCTACGTGAGCCTCCTCTCCACCCCAAAGTCACCTAGATCGACAAAACCAGGCGAGCCCACTTCCATTGCGACCGCCCTTTCCGTCCAGAACCGAACGACGGCAAAGTATTACAAGTAACAGACTTAGGCAAACCACGCTCTGGATCTATGCCAGGGTGTACCAGTTGGGAAGGGGGTCCTTCTTGTCCCAGAACCTGATCGTGACATCGCAGTTCTTGTAGACCGCGAAGCACTCGTTGGCACCACCAAAGGACGTGGGAAGAAGGACCCAGTACGCTCTGTCGTAGTTGCCAAGGTTGAAGTTGTACGTCAGGTCGACAAATTCAGAGTTGCTGGCTCACCGGTTAGTAAAGCAAGCACCAACAATCGCCTCCACCTGAGGTGATGGAGAGAGAGACTCACCCCGGGACGGAATTGACCATGGACTGGAACTTTGCGTTCATGACACCACCGTGGAAGCCGTCCACGTAGTATGTCGAGCCGACGTTGGTAGGCAGCTTGTGGCCCAAGTGGTGCTTGGCCTTGCCGCAGTTCACGCTGGTGATGATGTCGCACTGGACGGCCGCATTGCACATGTCAGCCAGTCCGAGGACGAGAACCAGCGCAGAGGCAACCTTGGAAGGTGCGAGAAGTGACAGGGAAACCATTTTGAGATTTGTGAATGTAGTTGTTGACTAAAGAGTGTAAATCAAAAGAATATGCGATTGAAACGGAGGTGATGTTGTGAAACTGGGGGTTGTCTTGGCGAGATCCGGACCCGTGGTATATATCTCAATATTCTCGGGCTCGGGTTTGAGAATCATAATCCAACGATTGGTCAACGGCTTCGAGACACCATATCTCGGGAAATGTCATTATCTCACATAATCTCCATGACTTAGTCTAGTCTTTGTTCGATATTGATGCACTTTACGTGCTGATATTATCTCTCGTCAAAACTCAACTGGTCTATTGATAGTCTGACTCGAGCAATCCCCGAGTAACGGTCAGCAACATTGAGCAGAATTAAAGCCATATGGTGCAAGAATAAGGGCAGATCGGAATACACGTGCCAGAACCCTGGTGAAGTTTGATGCTTTTCTAGTCTAGAGACTCAAGCTAGCATGATAAATTAATATACGTGCGAGTCAGTGTTTGGACCAACATCGTAATTATACGAACTTGTCAGAGCTTCTGTCTGAGCTTCTAGAAACTCTAAACATGCTTGCGGGAAATAGACCGCTGGTTCAACCGTTCAAGTTGGTATGTGCTCGCGCGATCCTCACTTTCTCATTTCAACAAGGTCAGCTGCGCAGCGTGCTAGCAGCGAAAATCCAAACTCAATTCCGAGTCAGAGTAACTCATGTGAGGGCATTCTTTAATCTTTGTTATCTGGACTCCAGTAAAGACTCATGTTTCGACGGCAGGCAAGTTCCGGGAGCGAAAGTGCGGGCGAAGTGGGATGGATTAGGAGGATGAGGGGGTTGAGGGGGTGAGGAGGGTCCACGATGATGGAGAGGGGAATTGAAGCTTCGTGAAAAAAGATATAATAAACGACAGAGCTTCATGCTTAACGACAAGCTTTTCTGCCAAGCATCGCTCACTCCGGTTCGCTCTCTCTCCGCATTCTTCTTACCAAGTCTCCTCACAGACCAAGCACAATCCTTCCAAGCCACACCTTCTTTTTCAACTAATCAGAAAATCTGTTTAAGCTTCTAAACATGCTTCGTTTACTCTCTGTGGCAATGGCCCTCGGCCAGGTCCAAGCTGGTGTGGTCTCCCGCTTGGAATCGTCCTCGTCGCTGGATGGCATGTCATCCCTGCTCGAGAGGGACGCGGCCGACCTGCCTACCTACAAGCCCGAGGAAGCGTTCGACTACAACAAGTGGACGCCCGACTCGGCCCTCTACGAGGGACTCCCCATGATGGACAAGCAGGTCGAGATCGACGGCAAGCAGTTGACTTACCAGGACTTCAACATCTCCGCCCTCACCACGGATCAGTTCAAGGCGCACTACATGAGCCTCCCCGAGTACTTTGACTCCAAGGGCAACTTCATCCCCACGGATGACGAAGTCAAGGCTTACCAGTACGTGACTCCCTCTCTACTGCTCAGCGTAGGGCATCTTACGATGATTGGAACTGTTTCCCACTGATACTTGCAACCACAGAGCGTCCATGGTCGCTCTCGCCAGCAACCCCGACTCGGAAGTCCACGTCCCCGCCAGCCATGTCAGCAAGAGAGCCTTCCCCGACATGTGCTTCTACGACGACAGGCTGCGATGCTCCAGCAGCTGCACCAACTACGTCCATCGCGGCGTGAGACAGTCCTTCAACAACAACGTCTACGGATACTACCACTACGTCTCGGACCCCCAGTGCGGTGTCGGCTCCATCAGCAAGACTGTCTCTGTCACTCACACCTCTGCCGTTACCCTCGGAGGCTCCATTGGTATTCCCGGAGTAAGTTTTTCTCCTCTCCTATCCGAAAGAGAAGCCTAGTACACAAAAGGGTTTTCTGCCATTTCATTGAAAGCTTGTGAGATTAACCCGAGGATTTTAGTTTGGCGGAAAGAACACTTGGACCAAGGCTGTCTCTACCTTCCTCAGCACTTTTGGCCTCAGCATCAGCCACTCTCCCGACAGGTTTGTAGCACCCACAAACCCCCCTGGCATTGCTATCCTCTTACTAACACGCTTACTCAGTGTCACCACCGGTATCAGCTACGCCGGTACCTGCGGCGCCTTCAACGTCTGCTTCCTCTGGGAGAGACCCCACTTCAGCGTCGACAAGGGTGTCATCGTTGTAAGTAAACCCCCTTTGGTATCATCGAGGGAGAGCCGTTTCTGACGAACAAACGAAAAACAGACCCAGTACATCGACGCCAACTCCAAGAGAGCCTGCAAGGCCCCCACCGTCACTCCTTACGAGGTCCACGCCGTCCACACCGACAAGGATGCCGGCGGTGCCAGCGCCCACGGACTGTGCTACTCCATGGCCTACCACGGATGCGGTGGCCGTCCTACCGCTTCTAACCAGATGATCCGCTGCCCCAACAACTACTAGATCTTGGGTAATACCAAATCGTGGTAGTGGCAGTGGTGACGGTGTAATGGCTGCTCTGTCCTCGGGAGTCTCCGCTGACCGTGAGCGAGATACTCTTGAAGTCTCCGGTCCCCTATTATACGCTCCCTTGATATGAGATACAGGCAGAGTGTGGATTACGAATTGAACCTAATGACGGACTTGGGGTTTTGTATATGCTTATAGTACATATGGAAGAGACACCGTAGTATCGGGAATATGCGGTGGAAATGGAGGCTGGTTTTCAGTTCAGTATTTAGGTTTCCAACACTTAGACATAG